CTTACCAATATTCTCATCTTCAAATCTGGGCAAGTGCTAGTCTCTGCCCTAGAAAACCCAACCTCCTTCCTCGCAGTTACTAACTTCTTAACTGCTATTATCTTCTTCACTCCCCAGTTTAGACATCACTTCCTTCAGGAAGCCTTCTCCAAATTCCTAAATCTATAGCCCTCCTTGTGAATTCCCATACTCTGGTGTATTTCCATTATTAAAGTACCTATCACAAAGCATAGTGATTTCATGGTTTTTTTAGAATGGAAAATACATTAAATATGGAATCTAATGAACAAACATTTGAACAGAATATAACCAGAGACATTGAAGCTTGCAGCAGATTGTCATATTTCAGAAAGAAGTGAGAAGAAATTAACCACAGAATGTATATGCATATATGCAAAGCCCATGAGTACAGACAATAGTTCAGTGAAGACATAAGAAGGGGGTGGGAGTGGGGTAGGAGATATCTGTAATACTTTAAACAATAAGGATAAATTTAAAAAAAAAAAAAGAAACTCTATTAAACAATGTAATCTATGGTGGTGAGTCAATGTTATGCTGCATTTAAAATATGTAATTACCACTATACTCAATATAAACACTGAAGGATGTATGATTTAGACACAAATCTGATTCTTAGCTTTCAGACACTTTAATTTGTTTATATTGTCCTCTATTGTATTGCCTTCCCTTTAAGCTTTGATCCTTGCACCAAAGTCAATGTACAGTTCTGTCTTCCACTGGGATAATAAGAACCCAAGTTACTTAAATGTCCAGCTTGGCTGAAACCCGGTTTGGCTCAGTGGATAGAGTGTTGGCCTGCAGACTGAAAGGTCCCAGGTTCGATTCCGGTCAAGGGCATGTACCTTTGTTGCAGGCACATCTCCAGTAGGGGGTGTGTAAGAGGCAGCTGATCTATGATTCTCTCCCATCAATGTTTCTAACTCTCTATCTCTCTCTCTCTTCTTTTCTGTAAAAAAAAATCAATAAAATATATTTTAAAAAATAAATAAATAAATAAACATCCAGCTTGAGTACTTACAAACCTAATACCACAATTACTAAAATTGCAAGCCTATCTCTAGATTATGATAATATAATAGATGATTCAAGAACAAGAATACTAGATAACACAACAAAACCAAATTCAGAACCACTTACCACAAACACCTGTACTTTCTGAAAGTAACAATAAGTGAAGAAAATGAAGAGTGAATCTGAATTATTAATTCCCTCAGCAGGAAGTTCTATCCAGTTTGATGTGAAAATGAGTAAGTAATGCTGTCAGTTAATTGCTACCTTTACACTTTTTGATCCACACTCTAAGCAATACCAGTTGTGGCCAATTATTATTAAAAATCACCAAGTACATAGGCATTAAAATAAAAATACGTGGATGCTATTCTTAAATGAAGAGGTTTTGTGTATCGCTGTTGTTTTTGTCTGGAGGTGAATCAGATTGAAAAAAATAATAAATACGATATAAGGAAGTATATATAGTTGACTCTTGAACAACACAGGTTTAAACTGCGCAAGTCCACCTATGCATGGATTTTTTTTTCAATAAATGCTATAAATATTTTCTTTTCCTTGTAATTTTCAATAAAATTTTACTTTTTGTAACTTACTTTATTGTAAGAATTCAGTGTATAATACATATAATACAAAATATGTGTTAATTAATTGTTTATGTTATCAGTAAGGCTTCCAGTCAAAAGTAGGCTATTAGTAGTTAAGGTTTGGGGATTCAAAAGTTATATTTGGATATTTGACTGACAAAGGGTCGACAACCCTAACTCCTATGAGATAATTGTATAATATAATGATGAGTTCTGGAATGCCAGTAGACAGCAGCAGACCAGCCTGCTATACTGGATAACAGAAACCTATATTAGTAATCAATCCTTACTCTTTACTTCTGTCTCATTTCTCAACTACTCTAGTTATCTGGAGCTATTAAGTACAGGTTGATTAAAAAAAAAAAAAAAAAAAAAAGCAAAAAACACAAGTTTTTGTTTGTGGTTTTTTAATCAGGTTAGACAGGATCCAATCCATCTCAGGTCCAGCACAGGGTGCCTGCCCTCTTTGTTCCTTTCTTAACCCCGGCATTAGGTAGCAGCTAACAAGATCAGCAGAAAAACATTGATGGCACTCAGTGAAACAACAGTTTCATCATGAGGTAATAGTTTCCAAAACCCCTAGGCAGGGGTCATGGCTAATTTCTTTGTTGCGATTTCTTACCATTTGTAATCTGAGCACCAGATCTTCTGAAGACCCTAAATTAATGTTTGGGAACTTTTATCTTCTATATTTCCCCTTCTATTCCATGCCCATGACCTCCCCAAGCTTATACCCTGTCTTAATCTGACAGTCAAAAGATCAAGACTATTGTCTTCTTTAATGAAACATTAGGAAACATTGGGACAGCAAGTGAAAAATGTCTGGAATCAGAATAAGGGTTCGATTTAATAAGTTATTACTTTCTCTCGTCAGCTCAACTTTTGACATTAAGATTTTCCAGACAATGTCTAGACTTTTTCAAAGACTCTTTATTCTACTGTCTCTCCAAAACTCTCTGGCAATGTTCATCAACATTTTCTACATTATTGTCATTCCCCACTCAAGGTGCCCTTTTAGACTTTTTTCCCCCTAATCACATATCCTCCCTATGAAATATTAACACTACAGATAGACTCTTAATCTGTTTATATGCACTGGCCCTTTTGAGGACCACAAACCATTGTAATACCAAAGATTTTTCACCTCCTAATACCCAATTTTGATCCCTTGGGGCAATAGTTGTTTTTTGTTGTTGTTTTGTTTGTTTGTTTGTTTTTGAGAATGCATGCTTTATAAGAATAAGCTACCCTTTGAAAATTCTCCAAACTAACCACACATTATGAGTTATTTTTTTTTACTCTCTATGTGACAATTTTCTTTGATTCTAAATATCCTTCCCCCTTTCCTAGTCTTACCAGTATTTATAGAATGAGATTGGCATTGAGAAAAATATTGAACAATATAAACCAATTAAAGTGTGTGTGTGTGTGTGTGTGTGTGTGTGTGTGTGTGTGTCTACTATTAGAATAATTGAAAAGTAGCTTTAGCTAAAATATGGAGAACTAAATCCAGGGAAGTTTTTGAAATTCTGATCAAGCATATCATTTGTTATATAGACATGACAGATGTATAGAGTTTTCACATAGACAAATAAAATGAGATTATTATTTTCAAAATAATATCATGAGCTGCATGACTTGATTTTAGTCAGAATCATGGGCTAATGGGCAACACTTACAGACTTTCAGATTCTGTCCTTGACTTCTTGTAACTGATACTGGGAGGCCACAGATTACACAATTATGGCTATGAAGTCATGCAAATTAGAAATGGCATTTCAGTCTCTGCAGCTGAAAGGGCATATAAAGTGCAAACATTAACAAATCTGAAAACTCAACTAGAAGAAGACTCTTGATGAAATATTAACGAGTAAAACAAAACGATAAAAGATTGATTGTAAGCCTAAACTTTTTTACTTTGTAAGGTTAGTAAGACAATGTTATGTGGTAATTAAGTTGGAAAGTTATCAGAAAGGTACTAATAGCTCATTTTATATACAACACTATAATGAAGTAATTCTATACATATTGGGGGAATCTCTGGCCAGGAGCTGACTCCATAGTTCCCTGTACCCTCCATACACATATACACACACACACACACTCACCCCACTTCAGATGACTTGAATGTACTGAAATCTGCAGTTTATTTGTCATCAGAAAATATAATGAAGTTTCTTTGTTTCCAAGTTCAGCAGCTTTTCAGCAAAGTCAAAGTTAAGGACATACAATGAGAGAATAAAATGTCTGCTATGGATTTACCAGAGAACAGTCCAATGTTGCCAGCTCAAACAGCGAAGCCATTAAGATTAGCTTGGTGATCTTGGGGGATGTGTGAGAACTGTACCCAAGCAGAGGAAGAGGTATTGATGAGGGAAAACCTATGGGTCACTTCAGGTAGATGGCAGAAACAGCTGCAAAATACTGGCACCATCAGCTGGAGTTGAGAACTGAGAAATAAACCAACTTCAGATCTCAGTGGAGACCCAGAAGATAAATAAACTGAATTAAAGTCTCTGGGACCCAAATGACCCAGGTGTCCTCTGGAATGAAGGAAAACAAACAAGCTTGCTTAGGATAGCTGTTTAAAGAGCTTTACTTCCCCCCCCCCCCCAAACAGTTGAAAAGCTTCTGTGTAAGGAAATTAATAGCAGAAAAGGGTCCCCCTATGGTACAGATGGAACCCCAAAATTCCTATTCTCCCAGACCCTGAGCTTCTGAGCCATTCTGAACCCCAGTGGGGTTCAAATGCCACGTTCCCTCTTTCGTGGCATTTCAGTATCTCAGTTACATCTGAGACAGACTGACTACTTTTATCAGTATCTCAGTTACATCTGGGACAGACTGACTACTTTTATCAGTATCTCAGTTACATCTGGGACAGATGACTACTTTTTGTATACAAAAGTAGTCAGTCTGTCCCAGATGTAACTGAGATACTGAAACGCCACGTTCCCTCTTTCTCCACGAAAACAATAAAAGTTAAAATAAGTCACCCAGAGGAAGTCACCCTTGAGTGCCTCCATCTACTTGAAGTGTCTCCTCTATCTGAGTTTCAAGTTCAAAAGGTCAAGAGCTTCACCAATGGGCGGAGCAGCCTGCAACTTTCTGCAACTCTGATCAGTACCTATTGGGCATCAAATGGACTTCTCTGGTGAGCAGGCGGAGAGCCACCTCACCGGCTCCAGTCCCTTCTGCAGGCATCCCACACATCCCCGTCCCATTCCAGAAAAAAAAAAGGGGGGGGGGGGGCCTCTCTCAGGACTATGGACGGACAGGAAAACCCCCAATCCACAATGCAATCACCAGGGTTTCCTTGAGAGAGAGGACGAGAAAAGGTGATTATTTTAAATAAAAGAAATAAAGAAAATCTGAGCCCCTTACCATCTCGCCTGAGGTTGGCGTTGCGCAAAGCTCTGATAGATGCGCTCTGCGGGGCTGCAAAAGCGTCCCTGTAGCTGCAAAAGTTTGCGCAGATGAGCGTGTAGACGAGGGCGAGCCGGTGCATTGGGATAGGAGACGGAGGGACGGCGTTGCTCCGAGAAAAACCCGGGCGATCTCCCGGGAGGGACGGCCGCTGCCGCCGCGCTGTGCCGCCTGCGCTCCCCCGCGATGGCCGGCCGCCGCACTAGTTGCCGAGCTGCGCGCGAACTTCCTGCATGCTGAACTTTCCGAGCCTGTGGCTGCTGCACTTCCTTGTGGTGCTGAGCGCTGATAGATGGTGCCGGGACAAACAACAGGTTGGCGTGGGTTCGCCCCCTCCGGCGGCCGGCGGCTGCAGCACAGGCTGCAGGGGGCGGGCGCGCTCCGGGCGGCGTGGCCTCTGCCCTGAGCTGTGCGCTCTCAGCTCTGCGGCGGAGGGTGCACAGCTCCCCGGTCTGCCACTGAGCGTGCCCATGCCCGGCCTGACAGAGGGCCAGGACTCTCCCCACCACCCAGCGTCTAATAATCAACTTCAAACCCTGCCTCTAGCCTCACTCCCCTGCCCAGCTTCACCACAGGACCCTGGCCTCCTTTATCACCTGGTGGTCCCTGTGTCTGCTGGGGTCAGATGCCCTCTCCTCCTCACCTGCCATGTGGGCACACTTCGTATTTCTTCCCTTCCACCTCAGCATCCCTCCACTACACTGTCTCAAATTTCAGACACCCTTTCCGTCCCTCATTTCTTCTTCTTCCATTGCTAATGCCTATTCCGGAAACATGCTCAGTTGGGGCTGTACTAGTAAGTGATTTGGGGCATTAGCCTAGACAGTAGTCCAGAAAGGGAGCAGAGAGCAAGGTGGCCAGGAGGAAGTGGGTGAAGGTAGAACCCAAAGACTTCTCCAAGGTGACTGGCTCCTCCACCCGCAAGGCAGAGCACACGCCTGGGTGACAGTGGGGCCTGGGAAGGGACTGGAATGGGCAGTGTTTAGTTTGCAATAATTTTAAAAAATATATATATATATTTTATTGATTTTTTAAAGAGAGAAAGGAAGAGGGATAGAGAGTTAAAAACATCAATGAGAGAGAATCATGAATCAGTTGCCTCTTGCACACCATCCACTGGGGATGTGCCAGGCAACCAAGGTACATGCCCTTGACCGGAATCGAACCTGGGACCTTTTAGTTCACAGGGTGATGCTCTATCCACTGAGCCAAACAGGTTCCAGCAGTTTTTAATAAATCTTGACTAGTTCTAACTAAGTGAACATTTCCCTTTGGGGGGAAAAAATGGAAACATGCAATTGCAGAGGAGCCCAGTTCTGTGCTTTCCTTTGAGCTTCAGTGGATATGACCTTCGCTAAGTCAAGGCTAGTTTTTTAGGGGAGAGCAGTCCTTCCTTCCTAGCTCACTGGGCTCTTGTAGTCACGGGCCAGGTCCATGTGTTGAAGTGTGTAATCCATGATCAAGGCTGCTTTTAGATGCCTCACTGTCACTCCCTGCACAGGGAAAGGGGCTGGAGATCAGGGTGGGGTTGAGTAGGGTACAGTAGCAAGATGAAGTTTGAGAGAACATTGTGTTCTTTATCTTCATGGCCCATAGGAAGAGGCCCTGGATATGCAAGTACTTCTGAGTGTCTGGAAGCTCTGAGCTCCGGGAAAACTGCCTCTGGTTCCAGGAACTCCCTCATCGGGCATCTGCCTCCCCCAGAGGGAGACTCTATGGGCAGCAGGAGTGGGTCTAGACCCTGCTGCTCATTCACTTTGCCTCCTTGAGTAAGTCCTCTGACTTCTTGGGGCTCAATTGTTTCACTTGTAAAAGGAGAGCAGCCATTCCCGATTAGTGTGATTGTGGTGAGAAATTTATGAAATAATTTTTTGCACATTGCTTTGTTTGTCGCTAAATCCAAGTCCAAATTTACTTAATTTCTCAACTGCTCACCGTGAGACCTAGAAGGGACACAATTTTCTTTTAGGCCTCCTAGCTTCTGAAAGCCAGGGGGATGAAAAGTGAGTGATATCCACAGAGAGAGCTGAGGTAGCTGGGAAGGGTAGAAGTTCAGGAAAAGATGGGCCTGGCGATTGTGCTATCCGATGCTTACGAGGACACGTGTTCTTTCCACAAACGCAACAATCAGTGTGGTTCAGCTCTGGTCATTTTTGTCTAAAATGGTGTTTTGCAAACCGCAGGTGTGTGGGTTGTGGAATCAATTTCAGCATTATTATTCTGTTTTTGTTAATACTTCAGATTTCAGAGCAGTTTTATGTTCACAGCAAAATGGAGTGGAATATGTAGATTTCCCATATGCCCTCTGCACCCACACGTGTTCAGCCTCTCCCATAATCAACATCCACCCACCGGAGTGGTACTTTTGTTACAATTTATGAACCCACGTAACAAAAACTCCCAAGTTTACCTGATGGCACACTCTTGGTTCCATATGGCATACATAAAGGTTATATAATGGTTCACTCTTGGAGTTTTACATTTCATGGGCTTGAACAAATATATAAGCATGCATATCCATCATTATGTTATACACAGTGTTTTCACTACTCTAAATATCCTCTGTGCTTCAGAATTATTCTTTAAATAAACAGTATGGAAGCAATAGCTTAGAGATTTTTTTTATTAAGGTTCACTGATAATACAGTGAAGTGTTGTTTCAGGAATATTTTGTTTCAAACACACACACACACACACACACACACAGATATGAAAGTTATTTCTGTGGGGCATAGTAGAAAAAGTCTAAAAGCCACTGAGAAAAGGTTTGATCACTTTGTCTCAAAATGTAAGCAAGCCCTGAAAGACACACCAAGGAAAAGAACAAAATCTGGTTTGCAGTCAGTCATTTATTCATTCAACAAATATTAATTAAGCATTAGACTTTCCCTTTTGCCATGGCCTAGACTAAAAACTCTGGTGAATAAAATAGTGAAAACAGGAAATAATGTCTCTAGTCCATTGGAGTTTGCATTCTATTGGAGAAGGATTATTGGCAAGGAAGTACATATCTAAATAATTAAGAGGGTCAGAGATTGATGAGATTGGATTTGAGTTAATTAAAATATATGACACCACTGTCTTAGCTTGTTTGGCTCAGTGGATAGAGCATTGGTCTGCCGACTGAAGGGGGTTTTGATTCTGGTCAAGGGCACATGGCTGGCTTGCAGGCTTGATCCCCAGTAGAAGGTGTGTAGGAGGAAGCCAATCAATGATTCTCTCTTATCATTGATGTTTCTATCTCTCTCTTCCTCTTTGAAATCAATAATATATATATATATATATATATATATATATATATATATATATATATACATAATGCCATTTAAAAAAAGTGGTTGGAAGTGCTCATTAAAATTTCATACTTAGCACCTGAAATGAGAATATTGGAAAAATTAAAAAATAACAAGTACCAAAATGCTAAAGAGGATTATTTATTTAAAGATATTATGTTCAATATTAAGTTTAAAGCCTTCAAAGTAGTGTATCCAACATAGTAATAAATGCTGTGTACTCACAGGGCAACATAACTTAATAGTGTCAAATAATTTAGTTAACTATATTAAAGGACAACACATGTAAATCAGCATGTTCATGATTATTTTTAATGTCAGTAAATATCCAAAATCAATGGCAAAACAACAAGTAGGCACTCACGCCTATCAATTGTTCTGAACCTGGTTTTAAATATTACCTAGTAATTAATTCTTACAAATTAGCTTTATCATATAAACTAAGGTATTATTGTATACAAAATAGATTCTTAATAAAAATATGTTGAGTGGGAAAGGTCTGACATAAAGATAAAATATGGCTGTTTCATCTTACTTTTTCACACGTATTTCAAACTAACTTACCACAATACTGAATTTGCCAGATTTTAAATGGCAAATAGGTCAGCCTGGCCAGTGTGGCTCAATTGCTTGCATGCACCAAGAGGTCACTGGTTGGATTTCAAGTCTGACACATGCCAGTGTTGCAGGCTCGATCCCCAGAAAGGGGCGTACAGAAGTGAGTGGATCTTTCTCTCTCATCAGTGTTTCTCTCATTGATGTCTCTATCTTTCTCTCCCTCCCTCTTCTTCATCTCTCTCTAAAATCAATAAAAAAAAAAACATTTAAAAAATGCATATAGATCACATAGAAGAACATGAACAAACAAAATTAAATCAGGTATATAAATATTTATTACCACTCAGAATAATATGAATCAACTATTCTATATTTAGCCATTGTTCAATGGCATTTATCTCAAACAAATATTCCAGCAGTAATAATTTGATGAAAAGGGTAAGTTAGGTTGTGAAAGTATTTTTATCATATACTATTATCCTTGTACTATTGGGACATATGAATGGTGTGTTTTTTTTTCATTAAATTTTCAAATATGCTTGGCTTCTTTCACTAACTCATAAATGTTAAGATGGGAAAGGAGTGAAACACTGAAACATAATATGACTGCTTTGAAACCTGCAAATGGCTCACACTAGAGCCTTTTTGGAAAAAGGTAAATTTCTAACTTATAACTCATTGCAGGACTTTTTTCTTTTTTCTTTTTTATAGTAGTTTTGTTGAAAAGCCTGCTCCATTCCAAGAGGACATCCCTCTGTTATTCATCCTCCCCTCCATAGATCTCAGAAAAGGCAAAACACTGTGACATGACATTCTAAATTCTGCTCTGTCTCTAGACTATTGAGTTTGGATAATATTGAGTTTTTATGGGACTCAAATCTTTTTACTAGAACACGGTGTACATGTTCTGTACCTGAAGCAAATATAGGCCTAAACCTATGTTTTAACTGTAAAATTAGGGGGTCGTCTTATACGCCAGAGAATACGGTACTTAATTGAATTAACCAGTGATTCAGCTCAATGAAATGCAGTCTGTAATGTAAAAGAATCCCTATATCTATCATTTTTCTTCAACTTAGTTATATTTTTACTTCCATATGTCTGTCCTTCAGCTGCATTATCTAAATGTAAGGTTTGAAAGATGAATATGTTTCCTGTACTGCAGGATTTCTTCCTTAATTGATCTGGTATGTCTGCCAATCTCCTTTAGAATTCTGCACTTTTATCTTGTAAGATTGGCCGATATCCAGTGAATTGTCACAGTGTGATATCTCCTTTTACCTTCCCGTTTGTTAAGCCACAAATTGGTATTCACATCTTGAAATGTCCCTTGCCTTGAGTGAGAGTTTTATTTCATTCAAGAATTTTTTTTATATATTTATATTCCTGATAATTCCATTATTACACATTTATTCTCCTTTTGAGTCAAGCCAATATTGAAAATTTTAATAAGACAATATTTAAAACTTGAGTGAGTGTTTAGCCCTTATGAATGAGCAGATTCTCTTGTTCTCCCTAACTAATGTAACCCATCTACTAGGTGTTCCCTTCCACCAAGTTGT